TGCGTCTGTCTGGGTATTCAACTCAGCAAACAAGCAAGCTCCGGTGCCAAAATTTTGGCAACGGACTCCCCGGAAAAGCGCTAACCTAGGACCGCGGTGCCAACCCCCACGCACATCTGGGCTCTGCGTGCAACCACGTGGAAGTTTTGGCGAGAAAACTGTTAACTCGGGAACCAGAAAAGTTGAGAGACTGAAATTCTCAGGAGATGTTCCCCGTACACATGGAATTCAAAGATTTCAAATTCAGCCCCGATGTTCGCGTAGTTCTCACGTGTGGCATCGTGAAAATTTTTTATAGGGAAATCGATAACTAAGGAACCAGAAAAGTTGTAAAGCTGAAATTTTAACAGAATGTTCCCTGTCCAAGTACCACGTTGTTGCACAGTTAACTTCACGAACTTCGAGGACCAGTATGTCACAATTTCAAGCGACTGGGTTTCCGAGTGGCCTTATTACAGCACGAAATACTGCAAAAACGCATGATCGGATGGGCCCACCTGGCAGGCGTTGCTAGTAATTTGTTATCTTGTTCCCGTAAATCCACCAGATTAATACTTCATTTTATTCGTCTCTGTTTAACTTACTCCATCAGCCACCACGGCCTTCCCAGGTACGCAACGCGGATAGTTCAGTTCGGAAGCTATGAAAGACAGGAGATTGGAGTCTCGAGCTTACAATTTGCTGTTAAATATTTGATCCTTCTTTGCACTGACATTTGGTTTTCTGCACGAAGTCAGATTGTTGTCACGACCTACGTGCGGAGAAAATTATAAACCCAAAGCTTTATTGGCTTATTATGCGAAAATGACTATTAGTGTCAAGTCTCTTCTCCACTGTGTACCTATAGGCTCATCAAGAACACAAGCTTCTCCATTTGTCAAATGTATCGTCTAACATGTCTACGTTTTAGCAACACCAAAAGCTCGATTATATCGAGTTGCCGTAGGGTTCTTTTATTAGCAATTCTTGAGCGAGATTTTAAGCTGAACCGTCTGATGAAATGAATGAATGGATACTCAACCTTGAAGGCATTAACCTCCTCGAACACTTCATAACTTAGTTGATTGATCTGATCATAAAGCGACGGTGTGACGATTAGTGACGTAAGCACTGCTCCAGCACATAGCACAACAGATATTATTCCTGCGACTTGCTCGCCTTTCATTACTTGCAAAAACCGATATCACTCCCCTGAAACTCTTGAACTGGAATGACCCTTATGTTTTGCATGTATTTAAATAATTTAGCCCTCCACTCGATGTAAACTAGTGCACTCAAACTTTGACTTCTCAGTCTTTCGACCATAAGTGCTGCTAAAATTTGGAATCATGCTCGAGCCCCCTGTTCGTTTGTTTGAAACCCTAAAAGTTTTAAGTCGATAATTGTAAACTAAAAGAGGTAAACATTGCATGCAAATGAATAAATATTTGTCAAAAGTGGAAAAGGGAAAGTTTCTGTTTGTCAAACTGCTTAGGAGGGAATGAGGCGTTGGAAGCGCAGAGGTAAAAGAAAGAGGAACGATGAAGAAAATAGTTGAAATGAATTTGCGGTTTGAATGAATTTAATGTATTTTATGTACATATATATATGCGTACATTTATTTATGAGATCCACCTCTCTCGATGTTTTTGTATTTGCACTTCGCAGTTTCTATTCCTGCAAACGAGACGCCATTCATGGATCCGCCTTCTTTTTGTTGCTTTTCATTGGCATCTTTCTTCAAGAAAACCGGATTAGGAACAACAGTTTTGAGCCTCCTGAATGAAAGATTTCGACCCCTTTCGCTTCTCCGCCCTTATCCCTCGCCTTCATTCAGTCTATTTTAATCCGACAAAATCTCCACATTCATACATCATAAGTTGTCAGTTTTTGCATGATGAGGCCATTCTATGTGGTGTTTTCCGTCGAAATGCTTCTGCGCTTTATGGAAACTATTCCAGGAAAATGTAATTTCGCTGAAGCAAAAAAAATGATTTTATTGGTGAGCGGTGCGTGTAAATTTCATTAGATTGCTTTTCCACGGGTCCATGCACTGCTGCGCACGGTTAATAGAGCACAAAACGAATGGAATATGGTTCGACCGGTTGCAGACAAATCACAAGGATTTTTTTCTGAATGTCTTCTGTAATAACATTTTGACCATCTGTCTCTTTCAAAATTACAGTTTCTCATATTTTCTGAATGTCGCATTTGTGTTTAAGATGAAAGAACTGAGCTTTGAGGATAATCCTGTATTACGTTTTTTTATATTCTTGGGGCCTCGATTGGAATTTTGTGAGAAATCCGATTACTGTTTTCGGGATGGAACTGTATCGTATGCATTAGTGAAACAAAAAAGAGAGAAAGAGGGACCAGTTTTTTCATTCCGGACAGCATAAATTCGATGTTTTTGTAACTAGTTTTATTCTAATGTTTATATTTCATTTTGTTGCATGTTTACTAAGCTTTCATTCGAAAAAAAAAAAACCGGTAAAAATGCTCACTTTGGGGAATTTCCATCGGCTTCACTAAAGTACCTTCCAAAATAGATTTATTTTTTAGTTCAGAGTGCATACGACTTTCGACGACTGCAGCAAATTTAACTGCACTTTTTCGTCATTTTTTTTTTTT